TCGTGTACTGTACATTATGTGTTTTTTTTCTAATAATTACTCCCCCGGAGGTAGAGTGGGGCTACAGTGGATGAACAAAGTTTTGAAAAGGATTGAAAAAACTTTAAAAATCTTAGTCTCAAGAACAGCATAGCCTTCATTGTTCTTGATTCACATGACCCCAAAAAGTATAGAGGAGCTATAACAGGGGGTATTAGTCATACAAGGAAATATAAAGGATAATCAATAAATAGTCTTAATAATACCAAATATATCATTGCATGTTTGTTCAAATCATACCCCGGATCAGTTTCCTCACTGCTCAGTGGCCGTGAGTGCCGAATACAGGATAGAATTTGCAGCTCTTCACCAGCAAGTGGTGGCTTCTCCATATGAATGAAAAATTCTTGAAAGGGACGTTAAACAACATACAAACAAACAACGTACAATCAAATTTAATATTTAAACTTTTCAATACTGAACAAATTTCTGCATTTTCTAAGCCAAAGTGCCCAGATGAGCAAGGTGGCCCCTTGGCATCTTGTTTTAACAAGAAACTTTGATTTTTTTTTTGTTTTTTTGTTGTTGTTATTTTCTAGACACTGATATATTTCATAAATGTTTAAAAAAAAATCTTAGGGCTAAAAAGATCTATATACTTGTCAGTTTATACTAACTAATATGTTCATGATGAGAAATAAAAAGAAAAATGCATTTATATAATGGATTGTGTAAAATGATGTGGATTAAATACCATAAATACCAAATACAATTAATTTGTATTTACTTAAAAGAAAATAAATTTATACAAACACAAGAAATTGTTTTAGACAAATTTCTAAAAATAGCAAGATGTTTGGAGAGGTACCGGACATTATGGTAGAATAAAGTCAATGTAATGCAAGCTGTCAGAAAAGAAAGGGTGTGTAGTTCAAAAAACAGAAAAATACCACAATAAATGGTTAGTAAATAGTTTTTTTTCTTTTTCCTCTAGTCTTCGGTGATTGTAAAGTTGGTTTCTTTGGAAGAGACTGCATTTTTCCCTGTCCCTTTCCAACATTCGGAAAAAAGTGCATGTATCTTTGTGACTGTGAAAAAAATACATGCCATTATGTTTTGGGATGCTTATATCAAGGTAATAGGTTAAAAAATTACTCACAATTTACATTTTAACAATTGTTAGGAACTGAATTTCTGAAAGTCGTATGCCCCATTGTGCAAAATTGTTTTAGTAACAATGGTATTTTATTTTACATATATTATGTCTTTAACCAGTCAAAACGTAGCAATGTTTCCTCTTTTTTCAGAATTCAATAACTCGATTTCTTCTGACGGAACAAACAATTCTTTTTCATTTGGTAGCAACCAATCTGAAATTAATAGTCCAGGACTTGTCGCAGCAGTTATTTGTCTGAGTATAGGAATATTTCTAATAGTGGTAATATATTTTGGACGAAAATTGTCGAATCGTACGAAGAAAAGAAGTCCAGTACCCATAGTCCAATATCATCAAAACAGAGAGAATGAACTAAGGCTGAATAACTCGACATCTTTGCAGCCAAGTAGAGAAAACGAATATGCTGTAATAAACGATGCAAGAAACAAGGGTTGCCAATATATGTTTATAATAGAGAAAGATAACATTAATCCATATGTTCGACCAGATCCACGACAAAGAAGCTTAGAAGAGCGTTTAGAATCCAGAAACAGCTATGTGTCATTAATATGTGATGAACCTAAGTCTGAGTGAAAGTTTCTGATTCAGGAGATGGACATAGAAACATTATTATTATTGTGTGCGGTATAGTGCTATGTGTACATTTACTATCTTTGAAATTTTTGATGAAAAAAATATCTGCTATCATTTCATCACACATTGTCGAAAATCAATCTAAGAGAATGTGTCAATTCCACTGCGACAAAAAGAATGACGATTAATTTTAATGAAAAATATTCTATTCCAATGATGGATAGGCAGATTTGTTTTTGTTTTCTTTCGTAAAATAAATTTCTAGAAGATTAAGTTAGACTTTAGATATAAATTAGCATAAAGAGCGTAGAACAACATTGTGAGATGGGGTGGAGTGAGGTATTACATGTATTCCTCTCACAGCATGATGGGTGATCATACCAAACGAAAAATAAAGAATTTTCATTAACTGTGTAGATCTAGAGAGATGACGAAAAGAGTTGCTAATGATTATTTTTATATATTCTTCAACACATTGGATCGATTTGGATCAATTTTAAATTAATTCAACCAAAAACATTTGATCAATTAGAGAATACCGCACGTTAAAATCAAAAAATTCATCCGAAAACACAATCACATTTATATTCACCAAAAAAGTCTGATTTCAACTAAATAAAATACGGTTAATTTACACTAGATCATATAATAAGATAAGATAAGTTTATGCAGTTCGGCAAAGGCACGCATTTTTCCTAAATATTATTTGACATTTTTACACCAGTCTGTTTTTGATAAAAGGAAAAATAAAATCAAAGTGAAAAGAACCGTATCACATGGCCTTTAACTACGATAAAAGCATAATTTCTTTTTTTTAGGTAATTCCACCCCCTGTGATGTCATTGGTTCTTGCAAAAAATGTAATTAAATTAAATTCATATCCAATGGAACAATACCGGTATCTTTTTTGGAAAAATATTGTTATGTAAAAAAAAAATTTAAAAAATGCATGTTTCCTTTATTAAATCAATTAATCTTTAAAAAATTTGACAATAACTTCTCCTCAGGTATTTTCACACAGACATTTCCTTTATTGTACTTAATGTAAAACAGTTTCCCTAATATTTACAGTTCAAAAGTATCTTATATAAGTAGCAAGCATTTTGGAACTTTCGGCATCAAAGTTATGCACATTTGATTTAGTTTTGCTTTTAACATAATACTTATGACACTGCTTACAAAAAAATGTAAGACTTTTAATTTTGACATTTGCTTCTGTTTATTTATGTCTTCCGTCTTAAATAATATGGTGACATTTTGGAAATAATTGGTAAATTTAAACTTTTAAATGAAAATAAATTCAATTTTTGTACCTTTAACCATTAAAATTGTAATTTACAGTTTACATTACAATTTTAATTGTTAAAAGTTATCAGTACAGTCCTTAAAACGATAATTATGTTTATTTACATATCAATGTGAGGAATTACTCTTAAATTTTAAAATATTTTATCAAAATATTTTTCTCTGTTATATTACAGACAGCACGGTGCAACACGAGGGAAAATATTCCGGACATACTTCTTTTAACATACATAAATGTACATTTTTTTTTAACACTTACCTTTAATTTTAAAATTCAAAAGAAGAAAATTGCTCTCAGAATGATGAAATTATTATGATCAATTTAAATCTATTTTGAAGAAAATGCATTTAATTATTTCTTACACTCAATATTTTCATCAGTCATTATAATTAATTATTTTGTAGAGGGTTTTTAATCTTTGCACAAGGAAAGGAAAATGAAAAAGAACAGTAAAATTGTAAAGAAAATATTTTGTTCTTGGCCAGTCGCACTTTTAAATTTTGTAACTTTATTGTATAAAAACGTTGACGCGTTTTATTCTGAAAAAAAAAAAAAATATTGGTCAGTTTTTTATAAGAAAAAGAAAAATAATAGTTTCGGTCTTAGTAAAGTTGAATATTATCCGCTGCGTCACTCCTGACTCTGATCCTGCATGTAGCAAATTAATCGGGTGCAACTTTAATTACTCTCCATCTTTTTTAGGTAATGTCCAGATTTTTGTTTACATTTTTACTTTGAGCGACTTTTATTTCAATATTGTCTTAAAATGGAATTTAAATGGAATAAAAAATAATTTACTTTTAAACAATACTTAGGTAATTAAAAGTAGAAACTTCTGATATTGACAATTCACATAAGAATAAAAAATAAATACGTTCTTTTATCTTTTTATTTCCAACAAAAATGTTTAATTCTTTGTCAAACATTGATTACAATTTAAATGTACATGTATCAAGAAAGTATAATAGCATTCAATTTCTACATCTGAATGCCCTTTGGTTTTTAAATCCAGTTGACCCAACTGACTCGTCGTAAACAAGATTATGTGAATAAACGAAAACGAAAGTGGACGTATTTTCCCATTCATTCATTCAACATTACCTCATGACTGAGGTAAGTTTAAAAGTTAAGCTTAAAAAGACAATATATAGGCTATATTTACACATATATAAATTAATTAAGTGGACATAATTTAGGAAACAGAACAAATTTTATGCATTGTTCACGTATAGTCTATATATATGAATATGTATATATATGTATATTGTTTATGTTATGTTTATTTATCAAGGAAAAGTATGACGGCAAACTGATACTTTGTGATATAAATCATTTAATTAATTGCCCATTAATATGCATGTATTTGTTTAGAAGTAACTGAGTGAAGGACAATAACTCTTCACTCCTTCATTGTACGAATAAACAATTTTGGTTTAAATTCCCTAAATATGTTTATTAAAAAAAATCAGATTTTAAAAAAGACTGTCTGAACTCACATGAAACAAGGTATTTAACTAGAACAATGTTACTTGAATTACGTATTTTCTAATTCACATAGAATGTTTCTCAAAGTCTGCAAGTCTAAGGTGCATTTTTACGGAAGCGCACTAGGGCCACTTTGACACTTTTTTAACAGGTCCAGCACAATACCCCGATAAAGGTATATAACTTGATCAAGCTATACAGCTTTATCATGGTATTTAAAATACCTTGATCAAGGTATTTTATGTAATGAAAATTCAAAAAAAATTCTTTACAATTAAATACTGAAAGTCGAGTTCTGAGTTGTTGTCAGTAAATTCACCCATGCATGTAAAGTACTCAAACACAAACAAATCAGTATAAAAACGTGTCGTGTGAGACGTTATTTTATGCTTTCTTTTTGATATCAGAGTGTTTTTCATGCACGAGTAGACACACTGAAAAAACTCAGAACTCGACTTGCAGTATTTAATATTTAAAGATTTTTTTTTGAATTTTCATTACATAAAATACCTTGATAAAGCTATATAGCTTATTGTGCTGGACCTGTTTATTGATAATATACTGTTTAACATCCCTCTCCAGAATATTTCACTGATATGGAGACGTCACCATTGCCGGTGAAGGGCCGCAAAATTAGGCCTATGCTCGGCACTCAGGGCCGATGAGCAGGGAGGGATCTTTATCGTGCCACACCTGCTGTGACACGGGGCCTCGGTTTATACGGTCTCATCCGAAGGACCGCCACATTTAGTCGCCTTTTACGACAAGCAAGGGGATACTGAGGACCTATTCTAACCCGGATCCCCACGGGATCTGGACCTGTTTAAATGAAGCAAAGTGGTCATTTTACAAAAGTGGAAATATCTCTGCCCGCTCAAGGGTAAAAACTTCTGATCTCAGGGTGTAGCTCTATTAATTATGTATAAAGTAAATACTAAAATTTTCTTATTCTTAAAAAAGTTATCTCCAGGGTATATTTAAAGATAAATGAAATGCATAGCTATGCTGAACAAAGTTATTTCTTCCAAGTTTTTGAAAATTGTGGCCGTTCAGTATTCATGGATTCTTCTGGGAAAAGGAGGGGTGTATTGAAAGTATAGTTAAAATGCATTAAAGACATACAAAAATAAAATTTTGGACATTAAATTTTAATTCCGTGTCTGATTTCAATGTTTTAAAAAGTGAAAAAATTCGGACAGATGAAGCAGAGAGCTAGTGTTAGAGACCCATATGTAGAAAAAAACCCTTGATTTACGCCGCCGCTTTTTGTCTAGCGCTCATTTCAGGTATTACATGTATGTCATATACATTATGACTTCTCAAGCTTAATAAATGATTATCGATAATGAACTATGGAATTAACTCATATTCCTAAATATTTATTTGCTTTCCCACGATAAAAGATGGGCCCTTTGTTGATTTGGATGTAGAAATTGGAATCTTTTAAACGGCATTCCAAAACCATAAAGGACTGTTTCATACGGTTCAAAAGTAACTGTTTATCAATAATTGAAGCAAAATATATTATCAACTATCGGATATCATTCAATGAGTGAAGAAAATCATAAATTACAAGAAATAATACCTGAAGTAAGTGACCAAAAAAAAAATCGATGGCGTTAATTGAAGGTTTTTACAATGCATATATTAAACTGTAGCTCTCTGCTTTATCTATCCGATTTTCTCGAGCAGAAACCCATGGTTCTGCAGCCATGGACATTTATGCTACATGTATATGCCTAAGACACAACAGACCTTAGGCAACTACCTGCCACCTGAATACAACAGTATCAAAAACATAGCTGTACATGAATGCAATTAAACAAAATAACGAGAGATAGAGATGTGTTTACGTTGCCTCAAGGCAAATGAATAGGATAATCGGGGATCGGATGGACATAATATTTTTGTAGTTAGTTTAATACTGCGTAATAAATTGTATTGTACATCTATTTACTTGGTCAGTACTAATACTCTACTTTCTTTTATCATCTTCATGCAGACTAAACAATTAATTAGGGCTTGAGAACATTGGGTTAATTCTCCACATCCCATAACATACAGGCCATTCTAGAAAAGTATTAAAGCTTTTTTTTCCAGTAGGAAAATAATTCTTTTTGAGGTCTTACTTATAATTTCTGTCATACACTTTGCTTCTCCCGGATTTGCTACACCTCAAGAAGTTTGATTCCAGAATATAATGCTGTGGCTCCTTTCTCCACAATGCTTCAAAATCAGCAAGGAACTTTCAGCTATACTTAAAAATCAAAACTTTTTTGTACGTGTTTTGTAGTTTCTTTTAACGCCATTTTCGAGAATCTGATCGCTTATTTGGGATTTATTGTACATGTGGTATCTAAAATCTTTAGGCTTTCCAATCAATTTTTCACGTTGCAAATAAGGTAAAAACATTTCATAAATAGATTTACGTGTACAACTTCGTGATATTCTCAGAAAAATATTATAACATATCTATACTTTAAACTAAATTAAAATAAATGAATTATTAATCATTGATTTGTACGATGTTATGTTTTAAGGACAGGTAACTCAAGTGTTAGAACGACCAAAAAGCACCGACTATCAGATATAAATTCTGCATATTGATTCTGCATATGCAATAATTGAAATTCGCTTAAAAAGGAACTACATGTATAATAAAAAATTCATACGTGCTACCAAGAATTTAATAAAAATGAGATTAGTTAATGGACCAAAGGTGATTTTAACTGCTATGGTGGACAGACCAATATTTTAAAATTAAATCATGAGGTTTGTTACCCTTCATTGGTTACCAACTGCTAAGGAACCTTTAGTATTTGGTAATACAAAAAGCTTCATAAAAAGTCAATTGATTATTTCTTTTTTTCAATTTTGCAGAATGAATATTTTACATTACTTTCCTTGTTTTACAGATTCTACGAGTTTTCTCAAAGGAACAAGAAAAGAGGCTTTACTACTTATATCATGAATATATTTTGGAGTCATATATTTATGATATATATGGTTAGTATATATAAATCTATATGCAGCACTTCAAATGCCCAACGTGAAAATAAAGATTGTAAAGTTTTCGAGAGAACTTGTCCATTCAATTCATTAAACAAATGAAACATATTAAGTTTATAAACAGTTTTAATTACTAAATAAAGAAATTTGGAATGATATTGTAAAATGCGTTTAAAAATGCATCAAAAAAGCTTTTTTATAAATATGTAATTTTCTAGTAATATTAAAAAATGTTTTTTTTTCCCTTCAGATCCATAAAATATATGCCAATCCATGTAGAGCATCCATTCCAACAGAACAAATAGTGTCTAGGTGTCCGCAATCCGAAAAGGACTGGCAAAAAGCGGCAGAACGAAAACAGTGTCGTGAAATTGCCGTCATTCAAAACTGTACTAAACCAGCGAATTTTGTGTATCATTGTCTACTTAATGAAGATATTACTCATTTTGTGGAAGTCTGTGCACCTGTGTTTAACATCAATGGTATTCTTTGATAATGAATCAAAAACTTTTCTCATTAAAATATATACGGAAAATCTTTTAAAAAATCTTCTTCCCAGTAGATACTTAGCCTGAAATCTGAAATGTTTTTGAACGGTTCCTGGGTTCATTTGGTTTTTAAATTGTTCAAATCATTGATTTTCAAATTTTTATTGTTATAAGCATATGTAGTTATTTTGATTTTAGGTTATTGTGCCAAATACGATACAAAAGAGCATCGTGTTTACCACTTTACTGGCCATGACTGTACAAAAGACAATCCTCCATGCAAACCTTTCTATAAATCATCAGAAGCCTATAAATGTAAGTTTTTGTTAATGAACATAAAACATTATACATGTACTTGTAATTGTACCTTGACCTATGAAGAGAACGATCATAGGCATTTATGCCTGCTGTTCAGTTCATTTCTATAACTGAATAAATATATTTTAAACTAATAAAACATTCACAGACAAATCTAAGACTTAATAGATGTAGACTACATGCTATATGTTAATAGATAAACAAATTCATATTATTGCTACAAGATTAAAAATCAACACATTTTCAGGTGTAAAAGTGTTTGTCGAAGAATGAAGTTTCATAACATTCCTGGTATGGAACTCATGTAGGCCAATTTTAAAAACTACCTGTATGTTATCCCGAAGCATGGTTTTAGGCATCGAAACGTAAAAAACAACAAGACCTAGTTTCTCAAAATTACTCTACCTTATATTTTCATACAAAGTCTGTATCGTTCTTGGTCTCCTTTAATAAAAACGTCTCCATTGCACTTGACAACTTGCTTGTTAACAATTGTTCAAGTAATTTAAATTAAATGGTCGATGTTTTCAAATTCTTTATCGCATTAAACTACAGCTGCTTCCACGAATTCATCAACAGTGAAGCACAAATCACGTTTGACAACATTTTAGTTCTTTTGAAAATATTTTAACTATAATCTATTACTTTGCAGACCATCTAGCGTTCGATTCTCTACCACTTAAAAATTGTCTTTTCCAATTTATACAAATGCTTATTATTCATACATTCCATGTTAATAATCCAGCATTTTTAAAGATTGTTTAACTGTCTCTATTTCCTGAATGCATAATTGAATTTTATTCCTACTTGCTTTCCTTACGTCCTCCTCCGTTATTTCTTAACTTTTAAAATCAAGTCTATAATATATCTTTTAAAATTGACTTTCATCTCGATGTTTGAATTCTTAAGTTACTTTTCATACTTTTCATAAAACTTATAATTGAATATAAAGATTATTATACATGTTATAGATAATTGTAATTTTCAATAGTACATAAAAGTATTTTCAAATGATTGTACAATGAATTTCAGATAAAGTGTAGTTATGTTTTTTTTTTTAAATTAATTCTTAATTCTTGAATAAAAAACAAACAATTTTTAAGGACATTTTACTATTATATTAGAAAAATAACATCGTAGCTAAGCAACTTGAAAAATATCAAGGCTCTATCTTATTTCAAAACTGTTCACGTAGACTATAATTAACTATTGTGTTTTAGTTAGGGATGTAGTGTTGCTTTGGTCAACCTCAGCATAGACCCAATAGCAAAAACAAAATTTACGAAAGTAGAAAAATACTTTCTTTGTTTTAATGCTCAGATAAACTTAAAATAAATTAACAAAATAAAACAATTTGTAAAGGACTGATTTGCTGATAGAGTGAAAAAAAAAGTAAAGTGTAAGACAAACTTTAGGTCATTCAAACTCATTTATTCAAGCAGCATTTTTCTGACAAGTCTGAAAAATTAGAATGTTCAAGAACTGCACTTGGAAGTCGGGAAAATAAACAAGTCTACTCCATGATAACCTGAGGAGAACTAGACTTACTATTATTTCTTTTGTAATCATATATCTCTTGCTATTTAAAATGACATCTACATTTGTCAGTTTATTTTTAATTTATTAATTTAAACTCCTTAATATTATACTTAATACGATACACAGAAGACTCTGTAAAACCTTTGAATGTCTTGTGATCGTGAATTTGATGAAAGGTGCTTATTTCCAATATTTATTTTTTTCTCTCTTTATTATATGCGAAGACACATCCTGTTATGACTTGGTTCAAAAGAATAAAACAACCACATCTACCATACATCAAAATCTAGGGAAATCTGATAACCTGTACAAGTAAGTATTGATATAACTCAAAATTGAATATTTTATTTTCTGACAAAGTATTTTACATTTTTTTTGTTTAGGCCACCCGAGTTAACGTGTGGGTTGCCGGCCTATTCCTTTGTTATTGTTCATGTATCATGCTTTAACATTCTAAGATTAATTTTCAGCTTCTTTAAAACCACTGAACCAATAACCCGTTAATATGGCGGGGCTCTTATAATATGATTAAATAGTTAAAATGCTTTAAATCTTTGAAAAAATATTCTCCTCTGCTCCTGAGTATTAAACAAATGAACTTTATATCAAGTAAGGAAAAGGAAGGGTGCCTGTTTCAAAAATGAGAATTTAATGGCCCTAAGCTGGGTCATAGGTTCTGGTCTTAGGGCGGGGTTTTAATATTTATGTAATAAAACTGCATAAATTCTTTGAAAATAATTTCTACTCCTCTTAGGTATTATGTCGATGATCTAAGTATTAAGTTATATAGTGACCAAGGATCCGTCTTCCAGCATATTATTTTTAATATTTTGAATTGAACTGCAGTATTGAGACTTTATTCTCTGATCATGACCGAAATGTATCAAAGGGTGATTTTTTTTAATGAGGATATGAATAATGTTACTACAGTTTACACATACAGGATTGGGGAATAAAATATGTAATAAATTACATAATACGAGGGGTGATCAAAAAGTTCGCGAACTATCTCTATATCTACAAAACATTAATTAAGATTAGAAAAAAAAATTGGTCCACACGTAGCCATACATAAGTTCTATAAATAGCATATGCTGAATAAAGTTTTGCTCCTTGTTTGTGACGTCACAATGTGAAAATGACGTCACTATGTAGGTCACTTGTGACAAAAAAGTGATTGTGTCAGTCGTACTCGTTCAACGAACGAAATCAATGTAAAATTTATGGAGTATCTTAGAAAATCTTTTGCAGTAGCGTATAATAAATTGTATACAGTTTATAAAGACAAAGGACTTCCTATAGATTTAAACAATGATTGGATTGATCGTTTTATTGAAAGACGGCAGATGGTTAAAAATGATATTTGTTACGTTGCCAAGTGAAAGCAAGTTTGAAAAGACACGTGTTTTTAATTAAGCAATCTGCTATCAAAGACCTGAAATTTTCACTTTGCCGAATAGTTGAATATCTTAACAATACCTAGGATATCGTTTTCTTTAGCTTTTCAGTATATTAGATATGATAAAAAGTAGGCACCAAATCTCTTTACACCTTGAATAAACGTCTCTCCAATGACAGTAGATTTGGGTATTGGTGGTCGCCATGCTAATTTTTAGAAAATATATTCTTGTCACCCATTCTGTTACCTAGATTTGACTATTTCTGACAAATGAGCTGTTTTTGTAATAAAAATTAACTTACACGGAAAGAAATATAAAAGTCAGAAAAAAAATTTCAGCTTTTGTGACAGAACGCTACAGAGGGGATCACATGACCGCCTATGTCACGTGATTAGCGCATGAGCAGAGCGGTGACAGATGTGCATTAGAATAAGAAAGGGCTTATTTAAAATACAATCAACACCGAAACCAAATATTGTTTCTTACATGGACGTTGTTCAATTAGTTCGCGAACGTTTTGATCACCCCTCGTATCTCTATCACGTTTTCTTACCCTCGCCCAAATATCGCTTATATTTCAAGACAGTGACCATGTATTTTGTTTATCCTGCAACATATTTTTTTTTACATTTGAACGTCCAAAACTAGCCATTTTTGACAGATTTAGATACATCTCTTTAGTTGAAACTATGATGCCATGGCGTAAACATTGCAATATACAAATGTATGTGACATCACAATGTTTTATAACGTCGGAAAACATTCACGTGGCCTTATTAGGGCAGTGACCGAATAAAGCTTTAATTAATTAGGTTACCTTTAGTAGGTCAATGCAAGGGGTAGTTGCAGGATAAATTATATTTATTGTAATATATTATATATCATATACGATAATATCAATTTTCATTGTATATTACATGTAAAAGAAGAATTTGTATTGGGGAGCAGTAAGTTTGAAAGTTTTGGCTGAGTTTATTATTTGTTTTGCATAAGTTTTGGAATTATCGCCTTTACAAAATCATAAAATATGAGCTGTGTTTTGATTTTAGCAGGAATTTAGTAAGTTATAATAATGGAATAGTAAATCTATAAGGCGTCTAAATAACATGGACTTGTATTTTGTTATCCTTGAATGACATGGAAATTAAGGTTCCTTTGGTGTACCCTTAATGGAATGTGTTTATAGAATTTTCATCCCACCAAAACAAGTACGTTTGCTTCCGAGACATTTCTCGATTGCACGATTCTGCATGAACTTGCTTACATAGAGATGTAGACTGCATGTAAGCACATTATGGTGCTCCGTTTGATATATATCATAAAAATCTTTTTATTTCTTTTGCAGAAACATAAGTATCATACTAGGATGTATTCTATTACTTAGTATGGGGGTACACGTGGTTCTGGGTTATTGGTTATATCGAAAAAGAAATATAAAATGTGGTGACGAGTTATCGTGTACCTTTCAAAAGAATACAAAAAGGTAAGTTAGATAAACAGATTTGCATGGCTTTAAGAACAGAGTGCAGGGGCACGCCCCCTCCCAAAGACCTTTGCACACCTTAATAATTTTGGCAATACATGAATATATTATGTGAAAATATGGCTACTTTAATTCATGCTTTTGCCCTCGTCTGAGACCCTTTTCTCTTTTACTTAAACTTTTCTTCTCTTCTGAAGATTGTTTTTGTTGGTAGTATTTAGAAAATAAAAATACTTGTTGGTGCGCCAACTTCTTGAAACGTCCTGAATTAGCTTCTTACGAGCATGATTTTCAGTTCATATATATATTAATATTGAAAAAAAAAATCATCAAATTATATTCAGAATGGCAAAGAAAAAAGAAGAAAAATTGAAAGAAGAGAAAATTGATGTACCACAAGGTATGTTTGAATTTTTCAATTATTTTTGTACATAAGAATATGTTAAGATGTTATGATGAGGTACATTTAGGCATTAAGTATATAATGCAAACACTTGCGATAAAGAAACTCAGCTTTCAAAGCCGAGACATCAAAATACTGTCTTATACATGTAATGACATCCCTAGGAATGCAATTGAAACCTAGAAAAGAAATCTTGATTTGTTAGTCAAATGCAAAAAAATGTACATGTATCACCGGGCATTTTCCCTGAAATTGGTAAGGTTGCTTGGCATTTTGTGTCTCCCTGTGGGCCTGTAATTATAACGGCGTCAATACCCCACCCACCCCTGTGGTTTTTTTCCTGCGGCGCGGGATAAATTGTCATCAATGTGTTCATATGCCCTTGATCTGCTAGAAAAAAGAATCACCTGATCTTCCTCTGAAATTGGAAAGGCTGCTGGGTCAGATGTGTTTTTCTTTGCGAGTCTTTGATTATAACAACTACCTTTTTACTTATCCAAGTTGCTCCGTTTTCAGAGTTGTTGGTAGGGCTGTTGCTGCGAGACAAGGTTTATCAAATAGCTCTGTGTTGGTCGTTGTCATAGAGTGCTGGTATTTCCTACGGCAATGACTGAACAGGTTATGTTGTAGCATTAGTTTTTGCCGAGCGTAAATCAGATCCTTCCCTATGGGTTTTTATCTGAGGCCCGGGCTAGACGTCTCTCAGTAGTCTCTGATTTCTATTTTTTAAAATATATTTTTGAATTAGATCTTAAATTCTTATATATGAATATAACAATATCATATAATTATATTTTTTCCTTCAAAATCAGGCATGAATTTTGCTAGAGCACTTATTAAAATATATCTTGGACTTCGTGTCCAATGATTTTACTTAAATTTTCAGACATGGAAATTAAAGCCGCTGAAACCCAGAAATATAATACTGAACGAGAGAGGAAACAACTTAATTCAGAAAAGAAGGTTACCAGTGCAATGGAGATATTTAAAAAGTAAGAAAAAAGCCTTATTTCACTGATACTTTACTTTCATGCTTCAATTTTATAAACGAACGTGACTTTTGTGGAGTGCGTATATACATACTGTCGAGGTCATCCGAATTTACTCCCGCTAGAATAAATATTTGAACTTTCAATGGTTTTTACAAAGTATCTTTACAAATAAGGTAATAGGTATTACAATCTTCTTTATGAGTATGCATGGAAATGTATGCGTTCCAGCAAACCTTTTATTTTTTCATTTTAGTATGAGTGGTTCAAATATAACGGCTAGTGAATGTAAGTATTTACATGTAGTTGTGAAATATACGACTTCAATTAATGTTATTGAACATTCTTTATGAATAATTTTTCTAAAGATAATAAACCAAAACTAATTTCAAAATTGCATATTTCTATGGTTATTCACAATTTGAAACTAATAATAATGTAAAATAAAAATATTTTGTTCTCAAAAGCAGGTACACCAAAAATCAAGCCAAAAGAAGACGTAAGGTAGGCTATTATTTAATGTTGCTGATAGATGATTAAAACTTTTGAACAACTTTCTGTCTCGTAGCTCACTTACGCTTGACTTTTACATTGACATCTGAAGAGTAATAAAAGTTGTCAACATGCGAGTGAAAGAAACATCACAAATTGTCTCACCTCACGCGACATGCTCTAAACTTTTCAAATTGACCTTATAATTCTTAAAAAACATCCTTGGTTTATTCAAAATAAAAGATTAATTTATGTTTATTTTGTTTTACAATCTTTACAAAATATTTAAAGCCTGTATAACTCTTTCAGGGTTATATTTTTTGAAGTGCATCATAATTGTGCATTTTTCAAAAATCACTCGAACGATCATCGCTTTATTTTTGTTAATGTTTAAATATGTCCTTTTTTTGCGCAACGTACAAACAAAATTTATTTTAATTATTTGATCTTTACTTTTTAGGAATTGCAATAAAGCTGCAGTGAATGCAGGTAATTTTAAGCTCAACTGAGTTGAAAGTTCAAGTGAGTTTTTTGGATCACATTTTGTCCGTCGTCCCTCCTTCAGTCCGTCCGTCTGTATGTCCGTCTGTAAACTTTTCACAATTTCGACTTCTTCTCAAGAACCACTAGGCCAATTTTGACCAAACTTGGTGCATAGCATCCATAAGTGAAGGGGAATTTAAATTATAAAAATAAAGGGCCAAGTCCCCTCACAAGGGGAGATAATCAAGAAAAGACAAAAATAGGGTGGGGATATTAAAAATCTTCTTCTCAAGAACCACTGGGCCAGAATAGCTGAAACTTATGTGGAAGCATTCTGGTATAGTGTAGATTCTAAATTGTTCAAATCATGACCCCCGGGGGAAGGGCGGGGCCAATATGGGGAATCAAAGTTTTACATAGAAATATATAGGAAAAATGTTTGAAAATCTTCTTCTCAAGAAACACTGGTCCAGAAAAGCTGAAACTTATGTGAAAGCATCCTGGTATAGTGTAAATTCTAAATTGTGCAAATCTTGACCCCCGGGGGTAGGGCGGGGCCACAATGGGGAATAAAAGTTTTACATAGAAATATATAGGAAAAATCTTTGAAAATCTTATTCTCTAGAACCATTGGGCCAGAAAAGCTGAAGCTTATGTGGAAGAATTCTGGGATAGTGTAGATTTTAAATTGTACTCCCGGCGGAAGGGCGGGGCCACAATAGGGAATCAAAGTTTTACATAGAAATATATAGGAAAAATCTTTGAAAATCTTCTTCTCAAGAACCACTGGGCCAGAAAAGCTGAAACTTATGTGCCCATGGAAGGATCATGGGGTAGTGTAGAATTCAAAATGTCTAAATTATGATCAGTGGGGTAGGGTGGGGATGCATTATGTATTACAAGGGGGGAATCTGGTAAAGAACAGAATGGTCAAAGCTGTTCAGGTGAGCGATGTGGCCCAGGGGCCTCTTGTTAAATTACTTTTAAAAACTCTGTATATGACTTCAAATACAATACTAGTAATAATTAGTGACATTTATACAAATCATAACCCTAGTGGCAGTGTTATCTGAATTCTAGATTGAAAATGAATAAATTAACGACAGAGCCTTGAATCAGCAATATTAATATGTTATCATAATTGAAAGCGTGTTTCTGTCATTTCCCCGGGGCAACAGGGAGGGGGGCATACTACATGTTTATTTTTTTTAACATTGTACATTGTAATATGAAAAGGGGAAAGCTTCAAAAATTTCTGAAATGCAAGAATTTCGGAAGAAAACATTTTGACTACGACGATTCAGATAAGCAATGTGACCCAGATAAGCTTTTTTTTTGATTATAGATGAAGAAGAAGCTTCTAAAGCTTTACTCCAAAAAGATGTGGATTTTACAAACACTGAAGAAGACAGGTACATTATATTTACAAACACTGAAGAAGACAGGTACATTATATATTTCAGCAATATTAATAAAGTGATGACCATAAATGAGTTCGCAAAATGATAGCGTCGTCGATATAAAAAGAAATGATTGTATAATAAAAATATTTTTTTTGTGAAACCTGCTAACAGTACTTACCTTTTTCTTCTTAAACTAGTATATTGTTATTTGCAGGAATTCTCTGAGGATTTTTTTTGTACAAACTATATATGTAGCTATAGTAAAGTGGCAGAGCTTTCCATGTTTCATATTTTTAGCATTACTCTTTGGCTTTTTAAATTGGTTTTGTATGTGTCTCCGTAAACGCGTTTTTAAGACATTTATCATATTTAGATTAGATTTAGATGTGGCCATGATAAAGTATTTATATTGTTCTTGGCCTTCAAAAGTCCAAAAACAATGCGAAATAGGAGCAATCAAACGCAGGCGTCCAAAACATCTGAGGCGGGATCAGGTGCCATGGAATAACTGAAAAATTTACTATTTAAACACTAACAATTACATTTAGTATGAAAAACGTCAATCAGCATTTGACTCAATGATAAATTGTATTTGCTGACACGGTCATCGACCGTAGTACTTACGAAATGATGAATTAAACGAGACTGCAGAGTGTAAAATGAGCTGGACTTAAAACTATGAAATACATGTACGTTAAAACGGAAATTTTTGGATCTATTTTTTCTTGTCTTGCTTTTATGTATTTTAAGCAAATCTTAAAAGTTATTGGTTTGAATGATAAATGACAAAAGATTCGCAGTTTCATTAGCAGTTTTGGTCAATACTTACATTAGTCTTTAGTATTTGTATGATCTCCTTGCTTACATATGTTTACTTTTTTTTCATTGCACCTAATCTCACCTCTGATGTTTCGGAGGTCCGTGTTTGCTCTGCTCCTATTTTGTATTTTTTTATGGACTTTGATATTGAATACTGTTCATTGTCTCCATGTCCTTCCTTTATATGTGATAAGTGGTGCCAGTTGTTGTGAAAATTATAATAGTCAGACAGGAGAGAACTTGAGAAAAAAAAATGACCGTACACTTACAGTAAATTGGAAAACCGGAAACCAGACATCAGTTCACCCCCGTCAGCAAATACATTAGAAACGAGCCAACCCCCCCCCCCCCCCCCACACCCGTTTTACCCTTTTTTTTATTTTACAAATTCTGAAAGAATATTACAGAAAAAATAACAAAAAAAAAATACAAACAGATAAAGAAGTGTTTTAAATGGTACATATTAAACATATTTTGTATTGTCAATAATTGAATATTTATTTTTTTACAGGGTTTTGGAGGATTTTAATGTGAGTAAACCTATCCGATTTGCTTTAATCGGTTTGTTTTTTCTGTAAAGAAATTGCTATTTCCTACGGGAATCATGTAAAGAAAATGGTAAAAGCATTGTAAAGAAATTTTCAAAGTGGTAACTATTCATTTTTCTAACAGGATTAACTAATCAGATACGGAGATAATTACGCTGAAAAATCCAGAATATATACTTTTCGTAATCTCCTATTGCTTAGCTCCAATCTCCTTGCATTTCATTGACTTTGTGAAACAACCCAAATAAATGACAGAATAAAATACACCTTATAAAATAAATTATATCTACAGAAACCAGAAGGCTATTTTACTCAAACAAGAAAAGCACTAAAGCCTACTGAAGGTATCAATGACGATAATAAAACAACAGCAACGTCATATTTTTATTTTTTTCCTTTTATCAACGTACGGTACTTTAACCATGTCTCTACGCTTGAACTATACGTATTTATTCCATAAGATATATTAATATTATCGCTACAAACTCAGTCGTAGAAAAAAGAGTCCGGAAAATGAGGCCGTGACAATCCTTTTTAATTGGTCCGCATATCAATAGACTTACGAATATTGATGAAGTACATTTGAATGGAAAAAAATGAAAGATACCAAACGGTGATCAATCTTTAAAACATATAACGAATACGAATCCGTAAACACAACATATCACACGGACCTCTGAAATTTCATAGGAGGATCAGGTGCCTAGATGAGTGAGCTTACCTTGTTGAGCGTTCACACCCGCCTTTAGCCTTATGTCTTGATCAGTTAGATAAGTGTATTTGTATAACGTTCCTTCGAGAATTTTTCACTCATTTTAAGACATCACCACTTGCCCATGGGGGCTAAAAATTAAGACATGATCGGCACTTGGGGCCTTAAAGCTGTGAGGGGTCTTATTTTCGTGTCAGCACCTATTGAGACACGGCATCTTGGTTCACAAGGTTTAATCCGAAAGACCGGTCTTTTGAAGTCGGCTAAAATATGATATATAAGATAATTACTGTTTATTTTATTTACTGTTTTCAAATACTTGAGAGAGAGAGAGAGAGAGAGAGAGAGAGAGAGAGAGAGAGAGAGAGAGAGGGGTGGGGGGATAAGATGAGATTCCAGTATGTTATCGGTAAACGTCCTTCCCTGCTACCCTGCCTAAAATGAATTCCTAATCTTCAAAAAAAAAATTCTTATAAACAGGGATACATTGCCGGGTTTATCACATGCTCCACCGATCCCCTTTCTTTCATCCTTAGAAATTAATATCTGCTGTAAGTAATAATCGGGATAAGCAACCCTGAAGCGTCCTTGTCTCCCACTGAGGTTTCAACTTTTTCAAATTATTGTTTAGATTTTTACAGTTAAACCGATTCTTCACAGATTGTCCTCTTCCAATACAGATTCTCTGTCACTCCAATATAGGCTGTACTATTTTTACAAACATATACAACTTATCTGTGACATATTTTTTCATTCCTCCATCATTTTAGTGATTATTTAGGATTTTTCCTGAGTAAAACACAAAATTGCATTGTTACATGTATCTGCTGCTCCATGACATTCTAAATCGAAATACTTTTTGTCGTTTTCAATGTGGACTACCTATTTTCTCAATTTGTTTTTTTTTTCAACAAAGCAAAATCTTAATCCATAATTTCCAATACTAATCGATGTAAAGATTCTTGATTTGATTACAAAGGCTGTTATTTGTGTTTGCCCCGTTTTAAAGAGAATAAGACTGTAGACATTATTCAGTATATATTGTTTGTAACCTACTAAATTTTGATCTGCTCTTTGGTCTGATTTTCGCTTTTTTTTTTTAAAGCTAGATAAGTTTTCATTAAATCAAGATGTTTTTAAAAAATATCTTACAAATCATTTAGATTAAATACTAAAATAAAAAAATGATATGTCAGAAGTCAACTAACTTTTCGAACAATCCCCCTGTTTATTGAATTCGATCACTATTCGTTATCAATATTTTTTTTCATCTGCAAGTTCTCAACATATGTGTTTCCCGATTGAGTTAAATAAGTATCTAAAAATTGAAATATGGACTGAAATAAATTTTTCTCTCAATGGCAACCTTTGACGCTATATATATAATATATTAATGCCCTTTTATCTATGCTAGTTGTATATTTAGAAATCGAAAAAAGAATACTTTTATATTTCAATCATGTTTTTAATGAAGTGCTTTTTTTAATATTGCAGATGCAACTTGATGGTTACTCATGATCTAAAGTGTACTGTAGTTTCTATGACATTCCAATTTTGGCAGCGAATTGAAAAGGAGATTCAGCTAATGCATAATGTGTGTAATTTTTTTTTTACGTATGAATTTTAAGAATAGTTTGCTTTTTTGTTTCTTTTATATCTTTTTTTATGAATATACAAAAGAATTTACGCATAGAGCGGTAACTTTACAGTGTATATTGTTATCTTTGGTAATTTTTTAAAAAGAATTCGTCATTACATAATCTCAAAATCTCAAAATTTATTAAATTCACCTAACCTTTTTGCCGTTGGTAATTATTTATATATATTATTATTTAATTTTATCCTTTTCTATATAATAAGTTATAAAATTAGATTTCATTTAAAGTTTCTAGAAGTTTTAGTACATTTGTTTTGTACAATCTGTACTTCTGTAAAGTAAGATGAATTATCTTCATTGTTTTTTTATTCACCTTTTTTCAATTTTTGGAGAGTAATTTCACTTTTTGATTTGCAATTGCTAAGTTTTCGGAAATCAATCCTTGAGTTAAATGAAGAAAGATTATCTTACAGACTTTCATGCTTTCGAACGTATTTCGCTCTTGTACAGCTTTCTCCATGGTTAATCTTTTTAATGTGGAGAATCCTATCATCTACTATTATAAATGATTCACACTTTGAATTGTATATATTATTCAATTTTTTACTTGATAAACAATTTCTCATGTAATCATATGTAAAGCAAGTTTAAAACAAGTATATGTATGATGTATGCATATCCATTCAATTTGAAGGATATTTTTATTAAAATAATTGCATAAATGTTGTTACTAATATATAATTTCATTAAATATTTTTATCAAATTATGTTTACTTGTAGAGCTATATTAAGACTGTCTAAAAGCATGACATGTTTTTAGATACGAATTGTTTTATTTTGAGTTATATTTTGATTCCAGTAGGTATTTGTATATACATGAGATACGTATATAGGTTCATCAGGTTTCATAAAAAGTATTTTTGTTATATCAAATGACGTTCATATCGTAATGGTCACTTATAATATTTCCTAATTACTGCTAAAAACTCGCATTGGCTCAAGTGATAACCAAAATTGTTATGAACTTTTTGTTATATAAATTAATAATACGCCCATTGTTGTATAAAGTTTCATACTGGTGAGTACAAATTTTATTTGTACATCAATTTTTCAAAACAACACATACTGGTGTATTTTATGCACTCTAGATTTGAATTGCGTGTGTAACGAAAGTTTTATCGACTTTTTGAGCTTTCTTTGCATTAGAAATGGCCCTTTATTTGCTACAAGTTTGTTTTGTTTCATGAATTTTTTTTTATGATTGTGCAATAACAAGGTGTTTTTGAGTTTTCTGCTTTATCACTAAAATTACGGAGTTAAAATATGGTGGGAAGTCTATGGAACAGTCCCGCTTACTATAAAAAAAACTGTCTGCTTTCATCAGCTACTTCATGCCATTTACACAGTGTTTCGACTAAAGACAACACACATCGTTGAGTCTAAATATTTTTTTTTTCATTTTAGAGTCAAACGTTAATTTCAATTGTTAAGGATTTATACGTTTTTCTAATCTGACATTTTTGATGACGTTCGTGATTTATTGTAGAAAAATGTCTGCAGCATTTTTTGATCCCGACAATAATCATGGTAGAAAAATTAATCACGTGTACTAATCTAATATATGTACACGATCTGTAAATTCTTTCTTCCTCTTCCGACGTACATTTCAAAAAACTATTAATGCAAGACACCTGCATTTTACATCAACCGAGAAAACACTATCTAGAGAAGAAAGTATAAGTTAAGATACTCTCCCAACATGCCTGCTCAAGTTGTCAGTTCTAGGTACTCCCAGATCATGCATGCTCAAGTTGTTAGTTCTAGGTACTTCCAAATCATGCCTGCTCAAGTTAGGTACTCCCAAATCATGCCTGCTCAAGTTGTCAGTTGTAGGTAATCCCCAATCATGCCTGCTGAAGTTGTCAGTTCTAGGAACTCCCCAATCATGCCTGCTCATGTTTAACTTCTAGATAATCCCCTATCATGTTTGATCAAGTTTGCAGTTCTAGATAATCCCCTATCATGTTCGCTCATGTTTTCAGTTCTAGATAATCCCCTATCATGTTTGCTCAAGTTTTTAGTTCTAGATAATCCCCTATCATGTTTGCTCTTTTTTTCAGTTCTAGATAATCCCCTATCATGTTTGCAGTTCTAGATAATCCCCAATCATGCCTGCTCATGTTTTCACTTCTAGATAATCCCCTATCATGTTTGCTCATGTTTTCACTTCTGGATAATCCCCTATCATGTTTGATCAAGTTTGCAGTTCTAGATAATCCCCTATCATGTTTGCATATGTTTTCAGTTCTAGATAATCCCCTATCATGTTTGCTCATGTTTTCACTTCTAGATAATCCCCTATCATGTTTGCTCAAGTTTTCAGTTACAGGTACTCCTCCATCATGTCTGCTTAAGTTTTCAGTTCTAGGTACTCCCCCATAAGGTCTGCTCAACTTTGCAATTCTAAGTACTCCCTCAACATGTCTGCTCAAGTTTGCAGTTCTAGATAATCCCCCATCATGCCTACTCAAGTTTGCAGTTCTAGATAATCCCCCATCATGTCTGCTCAAGTTTACAGTTCTAGATAATCTCCCATCATGTTTGTTCAAGTTTGCATTTCTAGATAGTTATGAAAAGCAGTTGCTACTACTTGTACACGGTGAGATTTTTCTAAAAGCCTCATCCTAGTCGCGCGGCATTTTAGTATTTTACATGTATTGTGGATATTGATGTAAATAACTTTACAACTATGAATAAAAATTGAAAAACCTAATTTGAAATGTAGCAGGACTTTTTTGCGGAAATGTGGCGTATGGAAATTTCTATGTTTCTGCAGAACAAAGAATTCAATTAAACTGCATGCTCAATTGAAAACTAAAAGACATTTTTGAAGTAACTGAAATCAAGAACTATTGATTAAAATTTTAAGATATATCAAATAAAAATGATTTTCTTAACACACAGCAATATTGTTGCTTTTGAGAGCTTTAAATCTAAAATGAATTTAATAAAAAAAAAATCAGTACAAAAGTGAATTTTCTCTCTTTAATAACGGTCACAACTTTTTTTGCATTATTTTTGTCTTTATTCGAGAATTTCTCCACACGAAAAAGAGAAAAAGTGTATGTACGAAGCTTATAGAATATAAGATAACTTACATTTCTTTGAAAAATTTAGAAAAATCTATGTCAGTTAAATTACTTAATTATTAAGCATCATTTGATACGCCATATTCGATATTGTTTTATTGCAAAAAGAAAAACATTAAATATAATCTATAGAAATAGAAGTAAACACAACCTGATTGCCAACAGTATTTTTTATTCTTACTGCCAAAGAAAAAGATAATGACTTTGACCGTCCTTGCTCCTATAATATGTTAAAACTCAATAAAGGTTATACTATCTCCAAGTGATATTGTCCTCTTGAATCTTAAAAAAAACCCATTAATTTTCAAATACATTGATTATGAGAATAATCTCTCCTTAAGGCATTTTATTGTGATGTATTGTATATTAACGGTTCATTAATTTATTTAAATCATACTATAAAATTGATGAAATAATATATATTTATTATATATTTCATATATATGTTTATTTATAAGAGTCGTTTCATAAAATAGATCAATATTTCATAAAGAAATTAAAGTGTTTGAGAATAAAGAGCTGAGACGATTGCAGCTTTTTTTTAATTATATGTTTTTGACTGATTTTTATTACAGATTATATTGAATTTTATTTGTTAAATAGAGACTTAGCCAGAATAAACCATATCTTCATGTATTTGAATTTTATTATAATTTAATTTTGTTTATATTCTAGTCTCTCATTGGTTGATTTCCAAAAAGGAAGGCAAACCATTTCTTAATAACCTGGTTTGGTATGGGGACACACCCCCTTGACAACTAGCTGAATCATCTGTATCCATGCAATCCTCTCATTTCCAGTCCATGGGATTCATAAAAAAACCCAGATTTAATAAATGTCCCTTTAACTTCAAACAGTAGCTCGATCTTACCTCATGTAAACAAATATCATGGCTGCTAGATCTTTGTATCAGCTATTACGTCCCCTTGTTTCAAATCACTTCCGTTACTAGGGATGAATTATTGAGCGGCAAATTTGAACTCATTAAAAGCACCACAATTTTACACCAGAGTTGTTTAATTATTTATAAATCAAATTATAAGGAATGACTTTAATTCTTGGCCAATTATTCGATGAAACCTGGTTTGGGTCAATTTACGCTTTTTTATAATCCGCTTCGCGGATTTTAAAGCGTAAACTGACCGAAAACAGGTTATCATCGAATAATTTGGCCAAGAATTAGAGTCATTCCTAAATTAACAAGGAAAAGTAAAAAGCATGTCTGACTAAAGCAGTCAATATTTTTAGAAAGAAAGTATAAGTATGATTATTGATAAAAGAGATTGTCATGATTGTCCTTTATCCTTTTTTTTTGTTTTCTTGAGAAATGTATAGAGTAGTAATTAGTACATTGGAAAAAGTTAATTGTTAAGATAGAAATACGAAATGTGTTTAAATAGATATGCTATATGAATAACTGAATTAAGTATAAACATTTGCATGACGAGTATCAGAAGTATCATAATGTTTCTTTATCTTATGAAAGAATTTTTGTCTGTTTCATTTTAGCTATACATTTAAATCTTAAAAAAAAACAAAAAAAAAACATTTTTTTAATTTTTTTTATTTTGACTTATTCTATCTTTGTCCTCAACATCACTGAATAGGTCCACTTATAATGGGGATAAGCTTGGAAATAAGAAAGATAACCCTCCAAGAAAGAATATCTAGCTTAATTTTTTGCATGTATTTAAAATATAAATTTAAGATGCAATTGTATGTTATTCATAGAGAAAATATAATTAAAACCGATTTTTTGTAAATTACCCAAATTTATTATGGATCGGACATCATTTATCATGCATCGGACAAACGCTATCGGAACAGGGGAAATATCATACATTTATCACAGTGCTCTATTATTCTTTTTAAAATATGGATCTACTTTTATTTTTAATTCAAAAACTGACACTGTCTTAAAGAAGAAGGTATGGTTTTAGCTTTATTGCGCTCTAAACATGTAACGACATCAAAAAGTTTTGAAACTGGCTTAAATATTAGTTAAATAAATGACTCTGATAGATCAGGAAAGCATATGGCATGTAGGTTTACCATTCTGCAAATATGACGTCGTTTACGAGGGTTGTCCCGTAAAATCGTGGACAAGTTGTCTAGTATGAAAAATACACATCACTGCGTTCTGAAATTTTCACTATTATATAGTACATATTTAAGTAATATACACGGCAAATTTCAGATAAATATATGCATAAATAAACAAATTATGAGATTTTATGCCATGTATTGTATCACCTTACGGCGCATGGATTATAACGCCAAAGTGTCTAAAACAGCGTCACGTTTTATCTTTGCTGAAAATGAAGTTGGATGAGTCCGACTTAAATTTAGGAATTTCATTTATACACATTCTTTAGTCTCCATAAACGGTCGAAGAACCAATTGGCACCCTCATGCGATCTTCTGAAGATTTATTACTAAGTTACGGACAATATTCACACCATCATTCAACTAATTGAAAATCTCATATCGGCGGTCTACTGTGACAGCTTCTTTTGCTATTACATAAGAAGTTTGTCCGTATGTTTTTTACTCCCTAGGGACTCGATCAAAAAAGACTTCGCTAAGAAAACTTCTATTTCATTTGTATACTTAAGATATGGTGATATCTTTATAATCTTTTTTCTTCTATGGTCATTTCAAGTCTCTAAAAGTGTCATTACAACATCAAATTAAAACTGAACTGCTCTCCGGTGCGCCGTAACGTCATAAAACGTCGCCATTTTTCGTGTGTTGTGTTTACCACTTTCTCATTTCGATGCTCGAGAAACTGCCAAAAATTAACCAGATGGCTTAAAATTTTTACAAAGACTACAAAATTGATTGTGGAATTGAATTAGGATAATTTTAATCCAAATCTTATGTATTTAAAACTTTTATTTTGAATTCAAACTTGTGTATTCTTTAATAAAACCTTGCTTTTTTGACCGTGCGCCGTAGGACAATACCCCTTGCACATTCAAACATAATAAAATCTATATTTTTGCCTATATTTTATCAAAAAAAAATATCATGCTTTTAAATATGATAAATAAACATTTACTAAAATTTTCAGCTTAGTGCGCCTATTACTTTTTGAGAAAAACGCTTTGTCCACGGTTTTACGGGACAACCCTCGTATGTGAAGCATTACTTTATTTTCAACAGAAAAAGTCTCGAAATAGCACATTTCAAGGGTGATTTTCCTTTAGAAAACAGTGTGCACAGCCGTCTCCCTCGTTATTTTTTTTTTTGATATTTTGTGCAAAATTCAATAACAAATCACATATCTCAAGATTTTTGTGGGCGATGCCTGTGGACAATGTTATCTGAAAGAAAATTCCATTGAAAATTGGTGTCTTCTGAAACTTTTTAAGAAAATATGGGAAAATGTAAATGTTTATGACGTCATAATTAGCATTTAAAAACAGAAAAATGACTTGTATGATTTTTCTGCATTGAATTTCAATTATTTAAAAAGCATGAGTTTTCAACGTTTACACCAGTTTCATTTAAAAAAAAATACAGGGCAAAATTTGTATGGAAACCATACCTTCTTCTTTAAATGATTATTAACATTTGCAAATTTTTTCTTGATGTACCTTTTGAAGATAAAATATATTCAATTATGTATGAATTACACACTTACCTTGTTAACCAAAAATTCTTAACAGGAACAGAAACAGGAGATTTCACTGCTTTTGAATTGAACAATATAAAGCACTCATAATATAGTTAGCTTATTCTCAGTATGGATCATTGTTCTTACATTATAAACAATATATTTCTCAACTGGACTGCTGTTAATCGTTGTTAATATTGTAATATATTACTTGATTTGTAAACGTAATATTATGCGGTCGTCCAGTTCTCATTCTTGTTAAATCTATGCTCAACATGTGCCTGCCAGGGAAGTTGTTCGTTTATGATTTTATCGAAAATAATATGTCAGCTTATCTAGATACGATTTTAGTAATAGCTATTATCATCATAATTTACCTGTTGTCGCTTCATGTAATATCGTAGGAGTTATAATATCGGGGAATAGAGGGTGGATGTTACATTTCATGTTTTGGAAGCCATCATACTTTACTCGGATCGTCATTTCCGGTTTGGTGACCTATATGTACTTACTAGTAATACATTGTTCTATTGAAGTTATGAATATGGGATCGTATTCTACTTTTTAGTTTGAGTTGTTTGGTGATTTGAAGCTACAAGTTGTTATTTATTGTTAGCATTCACTTTATAATCAGTCAGCTTTATCGGGACTACATTTGTTTACGCTAGTGTCGGAAGTTACGATATTCATACACTAACATTGTTCATCATATATTGTGCAGTCTACGGATGTTTTATAAACATTGAAGGAATTTATTAATTCGTCTAGTCAAGCTTATTTTATGTGTTATATTTCCTTTTGTTAATTTTACATACGCAGCACAGTTAAGGCTGAAATGGAAAGGCGGGGCTTAATACCACGTGATATTTTTGACATTAACTCCGCCCATTATTCATGAGATTTTTAAAAGTCAGTTTCTAACAGAAAGAAAGAAGCTCACATTGATTAATAGTTATTTAGAAAATCATTTATTTTGTGT